CTTGAGCCCAAGAGTTTGAGGTTGCTGTGAGCTATGATGCCATGGCACTCTACCAAGGGTGACAAAGTAAGACTGTCTCAAAAAAAAAAAAATCCATATTTCTAATTTAATATTTTAAAAGTTTGCATCTAGAGAAATAGAGAATAGCATAAAAGGAAGAAAAATTTTAGGCTTCTAGAGATAATCTGTTATCTTCTACTATTATAAATTCAACTCTGTTAATCTGTTTTTCACCTTAATACTTTCGATGATCAGTTCGAACAACTGCCACAGCAGCAAGCAACTTGATTGAAGTATTTGTTGATGGTCAGTCTGTCATGGTGGAACCAGGAACAACTGTCCTCCAAGTAGGCATACATTCTAATTCTTTATTTTGTGTGTCTGTGTGTTCTGAATTTTTTAAAATCAATTTATATCCTTTATTTTGTCTATTTGCTTCTCAAAAATAACTACACATAGTAAAATTATATGAAAATAGTTTGATTTTAAATCTTGGCACTTCAAAGTGAGCTATTATTTATCCATTTTTGGCATTCTTTTGGTGAACTATGGTAGTTCTTTTGTTTAATTTCTGCCTTCCAAATGAATACTCATCAGGAAATTTGAAGTTACTTAAAATAATTAGTTACCACTGTTAAATTTATTAAAAAGTAATTTTACTTTGTTGTGGGCCTGCTTGATGATTTTCACTTTTATATAACCTTTCTGTTATTAGTAATATTTTGAAAAATGTAATAATTACAAATCAGGTTAATGGAGGTTAATATGTTCTTGAATTCATGCTGTAGATATGTAATTTCTTCCTATTCCTCAGAAATAACAAATGTGGTCATGAGAAAGTGAGGCTTCATTCCATCTGCAAGTTATCATGAAGCTAAATGTCTTTATTCATTTTAGCAGTCATATCTAGACTATTTCCCAGGCATAATTTGTAAGCACAAAATATTCTATAACAAAAGTATATGCAAGGTACAGTGGGAGGTATTGTGGCAGGGATAGAAGGTGGTAGAAAGAGATGTCAGGAGTGTCTCAGGTGATCCCTGAGGAGATTTAAAGGATAAATAGGTGTGTTTATATGTGAACAAGGAGAACACATATTTCCTATGGAAAGATAATTAGCTAAAGCAAATAGCTATGTTTAGTATTTCTAAACATAAGGGATAAGTAGAAGATGAGATGACAGTAAACTGAGTTATTGAGGAAAGAAAAGTCCACTCATGAAATGAAATATTTCCCATGTAAAAGAGCTTATATTTTGACCCATCAAGAGTTTTTAGTGGCTATTAAGCAATGTGATATTTATTGTAGAGGGTGATAGTTTGGAGAATAGCAAACTGGAATAAAAGAAAAGGAAGCAGGAATGTCCAACCTTTTTTTTTCTTGCTACACATCGGAGGAAGAGTTGTCTTAGGCCACACATTAAATACACAAACACTAATGAAAGCTGCTTAGCAAAAAAAAAAAAAAAATGTGTGTAATTTTCACAATATCTGACACCACAGATAAGCAAAACAGGCCTCAAATAATCTAATCTATGTGTGGCCTAAAGACCACAGGTTGGACACCCCTGTGTGGAATAAAAAATGAAAAGTCCTTAAACACATAGAAGCAACAAGACTGAAAACAAGAGGTTAAATTTAAGGGAGAATGAGATGTAAACAGGCCATTAGGAATGATGAAGAGCAGAGGGTTTTTTGTTTCTATATAGAATTTCACAGTATTGCTTTAATGGGGAGAAAAAAACAGGGAAGAAATTTTCAATAGAGACGGAGATGGTCATTTAGAATTCAAAGAGAATAGGAACTTATGTGGTTTTCTGGCTTTGGTAGCTTATTTGAAATTGTCTATAGGGAACAGAAGTAGGTTGAATTTAAGCTGCATATGGAATATATACATAGAATTCCCTGTTTAAATCTGTAGGTTGGAGAAGTGAAAGATAATCCATTACAGGGCTGTAATAAAGATTTTAGATGGAATCATTACATGGAGTGTGAGCTAACATGAAAGAAGGTGTCTGGCTCGGTGCCTGTGGCTCAAGCTGCTAAGGCACCAGCCACGTACACCTAAGGTGGCGAGTTTGAATCCCCAGCCCGGGCCCGCCAAACAATAATGATGGCTGCAACCAAAAAATGGCCAGGCGTTGTGGCGGGCGCCTGTAGTCCCAGCTACTTGGGAGGCTGAGGCAGGAGACTCGCTTGAGCCCAGGAGTTGAAGGTTGCTGTGAGCATGATGTCATGGCACTCTACCCAGGGGGATAGCTTGAGGCTCCATCTCAAAAAAAAAATAAAAAAAGAAAGTGTCTGTCTTGTGTATTTTTTCGAGCACAAAGGATATACTCAATGTGTTTTTGCTAACTAGAGAGTTAAAGCTTTGGAAATTGATGAGATTGCTTTAGAGTAAAGGCTGAGGGTGGAAGAACTAACTCTAGAGGAAATTTGAACATGTTAATAGGCTAAAAGAAGGAGGAACTTGCAGAGGAGTAGTAGTAATTGGTAGAGCAAGGCTAATCCCATTTACTTGGCAGATAGTAACTGGAAGAGCTTCAGCCACAGTGGAAGGGGTGGGGTATATGGAGCCAAAGATAGAAATAGATGATAGCTAGCAAGATAATATAGAATGTAGTTTCTAATGCATAGGAATGGAATGAGGCAAAGAACAAGTCCAGGTATGAAAGCATTGGGACAGGGTTTAAAGAGACATTGTAGACAGCAGATCAGAATTGATCTGGAAAGTCACATCTTCAACCCAATGAGAGGATACTTCTTCCACATAAGTTGAAGCCATTCTGAGAATTCTTAGATCCTCTGAGGCTGCTTCTGAGCAGACAGGGTAAGGTTAAGAGTAAAGAAGAAGGGAAATCTCTTTAGGAACTGATGTAAGAATGGATGAAGACGCAGATATTTATGGATAGGAGTAATACGACAGCCTCTTGTGTTGGTATATAACTGTTTTAGCAAGAGCAGGGGTAAAGTCAAATTTTAATGCAAAACAATTTTTTACTTGTCTTGTAGGCTTGTGAGAAGGTTGGCATGCAGATCCCCCGATTCTGTTATCATGAAAGATTATCTGTTGCTGGAAATTGCAGAATGTGCCTTGTTGAAATTGAGAAAGCTCCTAAGGTACTTGATACCTAAAATTCTACACCATGCTGTAGAAAGTAGAAAAATTTACATCTTGAAGCAAACTTTATTTAGAATTAATATGGTTGTAGTGGAGAACCTAGCCCTGTTTACTTCTGTCTGTATGTTTAATAATTTTTGTGGGATTCTCTTCATTTCAAAACTGGAAATGGCTCGGCACCTGTGGCTCAAGTGGCTAAGGCACCAGCCACATACACCTAAGGTGGCGGGTTGGAATCCAGCCCGGTCTGCCAAAACAACAATGATGGCTGCAACCAAAAAATAGCCGGGCATTGTGGTGAGTGCCTGTGGTCCCACTACTTGGGAGGCTGAGGCAGGAGACTCGCTTGAGCCCAGGAATTGGAGGTTCCTGTGAGCTGTGATGCGACGGCACTCTACCCAGGGGGAGCTTGAGGCTCTGTCTCAAAAAAAAACAAAAAAACTGGAAACCCATTAGTGGAAGTGCCATATAAATGCAACTGCTAGATCTAGAAATTAAAGGTGATTTTTTTTTTTTTTTTACAGTCAACAGTCATTACTTCCAAATGACAGTATGACATACATCTAGGGTGTGTAATTGCCAAGCAACGTTAGAAGTGCTTATGCTGGCTCGGCGCCTATAGCTCAACCGGCTAAGGCGCCAGCCACGTACACCTAAGG